AAACCTTCAGGGGCCGATTAACGCGTTAGCGTTAGAATTTTTGTGTGTGTGTTTGTCCGGTGGCTCAGGACTTTTCATTCATAGCTCGCCCTGAAGTTGTTGAGATAGATTCTTTCTGTTGCTGTGGGCTGTGGTCGGGGGCTAGTTCAGTCGAAAGAATCAGTTTCCAACCAAAAAATCTGGGCAGAAATCAGAGAGAATCTAGGGGAAAAAAATAATTAAAGAAAAAGAAAGAGACATAAATAAATCCCCCGAAAATGGCGTACGCTGGCATTTACAATGAAGTTCTCGGCCGTGGTGCCGCGCTCGGTCTAAATGAAAACTACCATTGCTCTTTCAGGACAAGGCCATGCGTTTGAACCCGAAGCTGTTCCACCACACAGGGGAAGACAACCGGGTCGGCGGGGAGTGCACGATGGAGGTTCCAGTGGTAAGAACAGAAATGACATCGTAAAAGGAAGCGGGAAAGCTCTGCCTAATTTGTACGGGGTGTATCAGAGCGGAAGCTGCAGTGTTGCGAGATTGCATACTCTCTTGGATAGGCAAACCCGCAATATTGCAGCGTGCGTTTTCCGTCATACCACTGACTTTCTATTTCCTAAACACAGAAAGTGGTCGGAGAGTGCGTCCCGCTGGGTGCGTTCTCGAGAGGCTGCATGGCTGGCGCGTACATGGAGGCCTTCCACCAGGATTGCTAGTCCGAGGAGCTGACGCCGGTTCGGCCACCCTGGGCTGTCTCGCCTCATACGACGGCGTGTTCGGGGCCGGGTTGGCCGGGACCAGCAAGGCGCGGTGAGCCGCAGGGGCGCGCGCTCCGGTCGCTGCAGCCACCCAGGACCTTCAGTCGGAATCATAGTGGACATCGTCACTGGCGACATATGCCTCATCAGACCCTCCCCTTTATGGCTGGCTTGTGAGGGGACGGCGTGATTTCCGATCTGGTCGTGTGTAGCGTGCAGCTGCCCCAGCAGACTTCAGACAAGTCTTATTTTGGCGTTACTTTAGAAGACCTCGTTTGAGTTTTCTCACTCCCCTCCAGCAGTGTTTCGTAGTCATCCCAACAAGTAGTTTTTAAGGTGCCAATTACGTGTTTTCTTTCTTACGAATATAACGTTTTATCGTAGTTAGCATATTTGTAGTAAATTAAAAACTATATTAGTAAGATTGGGACCATCTAGTGACCCTCGGTGCAAGTTGGTAAGTCTATCGAATTTGTTGAACTCATTTTTGCCCACGGATGTGCAGCCATCCAACACTCTTCTGTGACTTGTGACTTTGGTGAAAGTTATGTTAGTGTTGTGGAGCATAGGATTCGATCATGACTGTATGACAACTTACTACAATAAAGTCATTTTTGTGAGAAATTGCGTACATACTTGACAAACTCAATTGTCACGAACACTTCCTTTACTCGCACCTCGCACCCATCTCCGTCCACCCTTTTCCGTCGCCGCCCTCCACACTGCGGCGCTCAAGGCCCCTCACCCTCTTAGACTTCATTTGCTCGGGGAGTGCCGCCGCTTTGTCTTGTGGAGCCGCTGCGGGCGGTCCGACTCGCAGCCGGCCAGACCTGTTGATCGCAAAGTTCAGGAGGAAGAGAGGGACGGGAGAAAGGGGCTGGGGTAGAGGAGGGG